TCTTAGAAGCAAATCCAAATTCAAATACAATTCCAATACTTCTTAAAAGTGAAATCAAAAACCTTAAAACACTTATATAAAAAGAAAAAAAGGAACAAACCTTACTCGAAATTCAAAATAAACTTCAAGAAAGAAATAATAATTTTACTCAAAATCCTAAACTCTTCTTTCGCAAAACCTATGAAAAACCAAATAATAATTTCAAATTAGACCAACTTCTCTCCAACAACAATTTAACTACACAACCAACTAAAATTAAATCTGCTCTCAACAATCATTTTTAAGATTATTTCAAAGAACTTCCATATACTCCTATAGATACTAACTCCTCTTACTTTGACCTCTACAAACCACACTTAGAAAATGAACACCTCTTCCAAAACTTGCTTTCAGAAATTACATCTGATGAATGGTCAAAAATAATAAAAGAGCTTCCTAACAACAAAGCTACAGGACCATCTAAAACTAATTATGAACACATTAAAATGCTCAATTCCAAAAGTCAAAATATTATTTGCCTTTTCCTCTCCAAATGTCTTTCTCTCTAAAGCACACCCTCAGAATGGAAAACCTCAAATCTCTTTTTCATCCCAAAAAAATCTTCTTGGGACTTTACATTAGATCAAGTCCGTCTAATCTCTCTTATTGAACCAATCAAAAAATGCTTAACTAAAGTATTTACAATATACCTAGACCAAATTATAAACCAACACTATTTTCTAAGTGATCTAAACTTTGCAGCAACTAAAAACTATTCAACACATATACCCATACAAATATTACTAAATACTATTGAATACTACAAAAACAACAACAAAGAAGCATGGATACTTTTCCAAGATATGTCTAAAGCCTTTGACAAAATCAATATAAACCACCTTATCGATTCCTGCAAAAGAATTGGCATCTCTCAGAATGCACTAAACTTTATAAAATTCTTATACCAAGATAGAAAAGCTAAAGTAATCACTGCTTATGGACTTTCAAACTCTATTATTCTTCATTCAGATATCGAACAAGGAGAGACCTTCTCCTCACTCCTTTGGAAAATATACTATGACCCTATTCTAAGCTATATTAATAACAAACACAAATCAAAATTCCTAAAAATAAAATCTAATTCTCCACTTGATATTATCTTTTCAAATAAATCACAATCTATCATAATTCTACCTCTGGCATTTATGGATGACACTGTTTAGCATTGTGAATTAAAAGAAAATCTCTAAGAAATCCTACAAAATATCTCCAAACTCTACCAACTCAATAATATTCAAGTAAACACACTCAAATCAGATCTTCTTCACATATCCAAAACCAAAATTCTTCAAACCAACTCTACTCCTAACTACTCCTTACTCTTCAAAAACCAACAAATCCTACCTCGCAAACCTGAAGAAACCATAAGATACTTAGGTATCTTTCTGGTTGGAAATAGTTCATCCAAACCCACAATTAATATTATTACCAACAAAATAAATCAATTCACTCATCTCATCAAATTCAAAAAACTCCTTCCTATACACATATCAAGATTATTTAATATGATCCTTTCACTAGCAATTGAATATCTGCTTCAAATCTGCTCCTTAACTCAGAAAAAAATCAATCAACTATCAAGCATTCTTACCAAAAATACTAAACACATTCTACACTTATCAACAAACACAAATAATGATATCCTTACTAATCCCCAACTCTTTACCAGTAGCTTTTAAATAAAACTTTGACAACTCGATCATATTATCCACGAGAGGAAACTACAAATAATGATAAGGTTATATTAATTACACAAAAAATAAAAAATTTATATAGAATCACAAATTTATATCAAAAAAAAAACAAATATAAAATTACCTTATTTCCTTCTGCGACAGCTAAACTGTCAACAGTCTTCAGATCGAATGGAATCATACAAATTAATGATAACCATATTAACAATACATATCTTGTCTCCCATCCAGAATAATCTTGAGGATCTTGGGAAACCATAAAATAAAAGGTTGGTTCCAAATCTGATACTTCATGTGTGAAGAATTTCACTAGATTATTTTTATTTTTATTTTTATTTTTTTTTTGTGAAAAATATATGTTAACTGAAAATTTTTTCTTTTAATTGTAATGAAAGAAATAATTTATTAAAAATTTTTACATGTATTTTACCAATAGTTTTATATCCACGAATTTTCATAATATAATATAATAATATAAAAAGTCTTTTTATTTTTTAGGTACTTGAATATAATCAGGTTTATTTTGTGTATCTTTTGAAAATATAGATCCTTGTACATTAACAGTTTTTATATAATTTCCAAGTAATTCAATAATAGGCTTAACCATATTCTCTAAATGTGGATCTAAAAAAAATGATATGGATTGATCTTTAATTAAAACAAAAAAAGCTTTCATTTTTTAAATCTAATATAAGGATTTAATTAAAAATTTTAGAAAATTTATATTACCAATGTAATTAAATTTGTTAAATTTCTTTCCTGCTCAATGTCATCTTCGTTATTCGTTTCGATATCATGTGCATCTTTCAATAATATTTTTAACTGTGGAAAAAATTCAGACGCTTGCACGAAATGTGATAAAAAATATTCAGATGCTTTCTCAAATTCATCATTTTTTCCTAAGATTATATATTCCATTTGCATCTTGTCAACGATTCATGTGCAGTGATTATAGTAGACTATATATTGTTACTATTGTTTTGGGAGCGTTATACGTAGTAAAAATACTTTTAATCTCAAATAAATTTTCTATTTAATAGCAATAAAGTAATAAATAAATAAATGAAACAATACATAATTAGTTTAAGAATTCTAAGGGAAATGTATTACATACCTTATTAATTAGTTGTGTTACTGAATAATGATGCAAAATCAGCAGCACAAATTATTGGCAATGCAGATTCGGACTTTTCTTATTCGAAAACCAAAATGAAGAAGATATATAATAAATTGTTTCGTCATAAAAATTCAACTCAGCTAAACGAACTTGGATACAATTATCTTAATGGAATTGGAGATGAAAAGGATGAACATAAGGCATTCATTTATTATCAAAAATCTGCTGATATGGGTCATGCTAGTGGAATATATAATGTTGGTTATTGTTATGAAAAAGGAATTGGAGTTGAAAAGGATGAACATAAGGCATTCATTTATTATCAAAAATCT